ATATCTACACATGTGAAAAGCAGTTTGACTTTGCACTTACAAATGTGCCAGAAACCCGTTTGGTTACTTGCACTCGCTGGTGGAGTTGGACCTTTGCAAGAATTGGGGGCCATTGGAGCATTATTATTTTTAATTAGAAAAAAGTGTCCAATGAGGGATTCGATCCTGGGTCGTAGCGGTAGAAAACCAACGGTTTAGACCATCCTTCCATCGACCCTCTAGTAGAAAATATAAAAGAGAAAATAGTTTTAAACAGAATCTCTCGTTTCAATTTATAATTTCAACTGTATTTCTAATTTAGAATTTGTTTTTCATCCATTATCAAGAATATATGATTATATAGTCATATATAAAACTGCAGAACATCTAGAGAGAGTTTTGATTATAATTATTCTCTAATTATTAAAAAAATATCCCTAGTACACGTGGTACAGGCCATGATAATCATGTTGGGTAGTTAGCGACTGCTTTTACTGTAAGTGCACCACATGTCTACACATGTGAAAAGCATAATTTTAAATATATTTTAACCATTATTTTCTTTATAATTCTAATAATATTTTTAAAACTTTTGTTTCTCTCTTCTAATTTTTGTGTTTTTATCTTTATTATTTATTAATTTTATTTATTGTTACAAAAGCACGAAGTCCAAAGGACTATTGTGCTCTGCTAGTATTATTTACATATATATGATTAATTATTTACACGATGGATTAGTAGTGTTTTGTAAATTATTGTACAAATAGTTCTAAACTTAACAAAGTTCTCATAAGATAGAGTATATACACAAAAAGAATTTGGTAATGTTTCAAAGTATCTACATACAATTTGATTAGTCAGAGGGCAAGTTAAAAGAAGATGCTCTGGTGATTCAACATCTAAGCGGCTTTCACATGTTGGATCATTGATAGCATTCAGTTTGAATAGGAAACTTAAGAAGGGTCCCTTTCCAGTTAAGAATAAAGTTGTAATTTATCAGAAGAAATGAAATTTGGGACAGCAATTGGAAATAAATTCTTGAACAGTTCATTAGATTGAGAAAGATAAAACTTAAATTTTAGATCCAGATATAGTTTGTTTAATTCTTTTTGAAGGGGTTTTTTGAGTGTTCGATCTGTGAGAGAATTTGTCATATTATACTTTGTTTGTAATAATTCAAGATAATCGGACAGTAAAGGGGTTTTCGCTAGTATATGTGTGATGTAAGAAGATGAAGTCCTATAAGCATGAATGCATCTAATAAGAATTTGATATTGTATAGAATTCAACTTGAATCTTTTTGCTGCAGTGATAAAAGGAAACCAAATATTTGATGCATAGCTTATTGTAGAGCGTATCATAGCTTTATATAAGATCAATCTACGCCGAGTATCAATGCGCATAATGAGAATAATATATTCTTAAGTTTCGTAGCTTTCATAATTATATTGTCAACATGTGTTCCAAAATTAATCTTATTCCTTTGTCTATGATTTTTAAAAATAACTCCCAAAATTTTAACAGTTTCTGATGGTTGAATTATTATATAAGCCCATAAATATTTGAACATGTGTTCATGTGTTCATGTGTGAACATGTGCAACATGTGTTCCAAAATTAATCTTATTCCTTTGTCTATGATTTTTAAAAATAACTCCCAAAATTTTAACAGTTTCTGATGGTTGAATTATTATATAAGCCCATAAATATTTGAAATGCGCTTGCTATAATGACGCCTTATAAACCACTGCCAACATGGTAAAGTCCGGTGGATGATGTACAGGTAGGAAGGTAACCTCCATGACAGTAAGTGGCCCATCCAGACCACAGCAGGGTTAAGTGTGTAGAGGGCCAAAATGGCGGCAGGAAAGAGTCTGCTGCCGAGTAATTCCTGCGCAAACACTGCGCTAATTAGACCGGGTGTTGACTCTCAGATTAGTGCTAAATCCTCCAAGATGGCGGCGCCCAACTGGCACTGGGAGATAGGCGTCTGCTAACTTAATCTGCACACCCGGGAAATGTCATCTGCCCCGTAATACCTGCTCTGTAGAAGCAGGTGGTCACGGTACCATCCTCTGATACCACACTGGTCGCAGCAGACTTACCATATTTCTAGTATATATAGATTCCCATTATCTACACCCGCTTTGTTTATTTAACTCTAGCTACGCAGTAAACATAGTTGTTCGTTTAATAAATAGTTTTGTTAATTAAAGTATTATATTGAAATGAGTTTAATTTGTCCATTTGCAATATAAAAATCGATAAAAATTTTATTTATGCAAAACAAATACTTGACAATTTTTTTAACTATCATATTTTCATTGTAAAAATATTTCGTTTACTTTCTCAAACAATCTTGGTATTGTTTTGAAAATAGAGCAATCCATAAATAAATCTTTAAATAAAATGCATATATTGGATCAAAATATATATTTTAAACCAATATATGCCTTTTATTTAAATCTTGGTATTGTTTGGTGTAAGAGAAATTTTCAGAGTTACATATGCATCTGTCGTAGTCTGGGCGCAATTTGGAGAAAGAATCGTCAGGATTTGTTATTGAGATTACGGTACTAGGGGTCGGTGGAAGGATGGTCTGAACCGTGGTTTTTGACCACTACGACCCGGGTTCAATTCCCGCATTGAGCACTTTTTCTGATCTAAGAAAAAATGCTCCAATGGTCCCCCGATTCTTGCAAAAGTCCAACCCCACCAGCGAGTGCAAGTAACTAAACGGGGCTCTGGCACATTTGTAAGTGCAAAGTCGAGCTGCTTTTCACATGTGTAGACATGTGGTGCACTTACAGTTAAAGCAGTAGTCGCCTACTTCTACCCACCATGATTATCATGGCCTGTACCACATGTACTAGGGATAAACAAAAAAATATATATATATAACGGTACTGGCTATTTTCTATTCTACTTTGGCTTTTATTAACACCTTATTTACAAGATGAAGACATACTTTTCATTAAAAACACAATGGCATATCATGAATGCTCACATGCACATTTTAAATAGCGGTCAGGATATGTCATTTCTGTTTTTGTTATCAACACCTTTTTATATATATATATATTTTTTTCTTTACATATATTTTATTCTATCTAACAAATGTGTTTACATTAAGATCTATTATTTTCTAATCAGCTTTCTAAATTCACACATATCTAAATTCTCATTGGGTAAAATATAATTAAACTTCAGAGCATTTAACACATCATAAAAACAATTTTTTTTTTAAATCGGAATTTTTGGTCAATTAATGATCTTTTTAGAACAGGAACTAGGTTTCAATCAACAAATTTTGTAGCTAAGTGTTTGTTATATTTTATGTACAGATTATTAAATTTGATATTTATATTATTTATATTTTGCTACTCTGGAAACCTCCCTCATTGTTTAACTTGTCTATTATATATATAAAATTGAATGTCTGTCTGTCTGTACTCTATATATTCAAAAACCATACATCCAATCGCCGTGAAATTTTGGGATATTATTAGGTATATCCCCGGGAAAGTTTTTGAAAAATAATTTCTTGAATATCTTGAATATCCTTAGAGTTATTTGCAGATTTGTAGATTTAACTCGCAAGCAGCGCCACCATTGCGACGATGATAACACGTTTTTTATCTATAAGTTTTATTATCACTAAGTTTATTATCTTAAAGATTATTTATCAAAAGTAAGATTATCTCAGGATGACACGGCAATTTATTTGAGACAAGAATAATGATACAATTCCAAGGCGAAGATACTATTCCTTTAACTTCCAATTACCGAGGGAACCAATTAATATTGATTTTATTCAACTTATCGAGTATTTTTCAAGGGACCGGGAAAAAATGTTCACTAGATAAAACGATGATTTTGTAATGTAGAAAATTAGGAAAGACAAAATTCAGGATGACACGGCAAACAGGGACCGGGAAAAATGTTCACTTTATCGAGAGATTCAAATTTACGAGTTTCAAATTATCTCAAAATATATCTATTATTTTTTTAAATAAGTTATAGAGAATTGTTTTAACAAATGTTCGTTAGACAAACCTTTACTCGGGTAAAACCCCGGGCGAAGCCGGGCACATCCGCTAGTATTTTATAAATGCTGAATTTGTACTTGCATTAAATAAATTGCCATGTCATCCTGAAGTTTGTCTTTCATAATTTTCTACGTTACAATATAAACAGAGTTGTGCTGATTAAAATATTGGCATACATCCAAGTAAAAGAAGAAACAAACAAACAATGTTAATCTAAATCAATGATTAATATAGGTACTCTCTCTTTGGAATCGAATAAATGAGAAAGGGAGACAATTAAATCACTTTTATTGCCATCTAAATCAATAGTATACATACGAGAATAAAAATATAAAAATATTATCAATATTAAGAAAATAAAAATTATATTTAAAGTTTCAATGAAGTATTTCCAATGACGAAGAGTAAGAGAGAGGAAGAGAGATTTGGCATACTATATGCATATATATTAATGCAGGTATATGCAACATTGGGATTACTGGTATAGCAGGGGAATGACCCATCCCCCATCCTGTGAAAAAGATAAATAAACGAGTTGAGCAAATAAAAAGAAGTCGTAACCAAAGAAATAAACAAACTTAGAGGTCCATGTAGATATCACAATCTACAGCCTACATCTACTGTATTCTCTGTGTTTCTCTCTGGGGGGGAAACTTAGAGTCTGTGTACTAAGCAGCTTCAACGATAGCGCTACAGAACTATTTCTGAATAGAAACTATTTGTCTCAAAGTAATAGAGAATGTCTTTTATTTGATTATTCCTAGTACACGTGGTACAGGCCATGGTAATCATGGTGGGTAGAAGTAGGCGACTGCTTTTACTTTAAGTGCACCACATGTCTACACATGTGAAAAGCAGTTTGACTTTGCACTCACAAATGTGCCAGAGCCCCGTTTAGTTACTTGAACTCGCTGGTGGGGTTGGACTTTTGTCAGTATCGGGGGCCATTGGAGCATTTTTTAATCAGAAAAAGTGCTCCACGCGGGAATCGAACCCGGGTCGTAGTGGTCGAAAACTAACGATTTAGACCATTCTTCCACTGACCCCCGGAGAATGTCTATTGATCCTTGATCAAGAACCACTTCTGTTGAGAGTAGTTTTTAATGATTACTGTAGATTCTGTGTCTAACCTTTATTTCTATTAAATAGATAGATTACCAACACAAAATTTGCTTTAATGTAGTAACCCGTGCTTGTTTACAATAGGTATTTCTTTGCTATTATGTCTAAAACGATGTTAAAAGGTGAAACGAAATTATCTCTCTCTCGGGCTATAGAAATACTTTTGAATAAGTAAGTGTTGAGTTTTCTATGATGTTATTTAGTTATTAATTTATTTTCTGTGATTATGTATATATTGACCGTTGACTGTTTTGTATATAATTGAGTTTTTAAAATAAAGTGAGTGTGAATAGTTCTTGGTCGTGCTTTATTCTCTCTTTGTCTGAGGCATTGGAATCACCATTGGGGTGTCGTCTGGGAAGTTTTTAAAACCTATACAGTCCTCTTAAGTACGGCCTTTTTCGTTAAGGACAAGGAAACCTTAACAGTAAGCATTAAAAAATATTTTTGAATGCTATTAGTTTTTAATAGGCTACTTTAAATACATCATTATGCACATTCATATTGTAAAATTATCTGTGATTATAAAGGTAATATTCTAGATACTTGCTATAAAATCTAAACGATTCCAACTTTTCTTTTTACATTGAATGTGTACAAATGAATGTTTCACGATCTGAAATGTTCATTTTAATTATCACATAGCATATGTAAATATAAACGCTGACGAGCGGCGGCAAAAGCGCGAAACGCGTTCGTGGATGGCACTTCTTGATTTATCAAGAAATTGGGTTGGCCAAATATAAGGGAACAGGCTAAATCAATGTTCAGTTGATTTCTGTTCCACCAGATGGCATTCTGCCTTCTGTAAAGTACATGTGCTCCTGGTCAGGATATTCCATTTTCATTTTTGAATTATATGTAAATATAAAAAATTCGATCAACGTAATTCCGCAAATAAAACACAGAGATAATATATTGCAGAGTTATCTATATATTTTTATATTTAAAAAGAAATGCAAATTCGACGATCAAAAAGAGATTTGGCGATGATTATTGTGAGAGTAACAAGTTCAATGAACTCGAACCGAGCTGTGTACGTAAATAGGATGGGTAATTTCTCGAAAAATATAATTTTATTCGCTCAATATAATTCTTCTTTAAATACTAATTTCTTTTGCCTTTTATACGTTCCATTCGCTAAATAAAAATATTATTAATATTGTCACGTATAAAATTAGGAAAGACAAACTTTAAGATAACACAGCAATTTATTCAAAGCACAAAAACAAAATCAACATTTATAAGATAAAAGATAAGCAATGAGGGAAGTTTACATAATAGTAAAATCTTAAATAATATAAATAATAAAAATTAATAATCTGTATATAATATAATAAATACTTTGCTACAATATTATTTTACTTGTTACACAGTACTCAAGATACAAAATATCTGAGAGTCATCTTTTGATTAAAAAGAGAACTTTTGTGTATGTGCCTGTATTTGTGCTGCTTAGTTTGAAACTCAAATTGGTTGTCATTACTTAAGCATACCCATAAAACACAAAGAACTATATAATGATGAGTATATAAATCAAATCCAAGTCCTTCATTATTGCCATTTCCTCGACTACTCCCGGAATGGACGACCATTCTCTCCTGTAAAAAAAGACCAGAAGCAGCTTCATTAACGACTCCATTCTGACGTCGTATTTCCATCAGGACCAACACCTCGTAAAAAGAGAATCGGTCGCTGGGTTTACGACCAATTAGAAGACATTTTGATGATGGCTCAAATCTTTATCTCTTTACTTAGGGCGATAGGTAAATGCCATGCGCGATGTTTTTATCTCGCGACCCCACTCACATCTTTAATTAACGACAAAACGTATCGACCAGCTTCCCACCTCATAATATTGAAATATATGGACGCTTTTGCTGCTCCATTCTTGCCCAAGGGACTGTGTGGATGCATTTTTTATATATCGCTTCTTCACTCTTCATTTTGATACACACACTCTTCTAACTTGATATATCTGTTTAAAAAATCTTATATATTTATTAGATGAAATTTGGCAGATATTATGTCTTTATTTTCTTAATTGTTTATTTTATTTTTGATAATTCCGTTACCTACTCTACCTCAATAGAATTATTGTAAATAGTTTCACGCGCAATTATCCAGATCGAATATAGCGTGTCTTGTTTGCAACTGGTAAATAAAATGTCTTTATTTAAAATAATATATTTTGATATAATATTATTACAATTCAAATAAAAATAATCTCTTGTATCAATATTGAATAAAAATATCAGGTATTCAGGAAAAAGTATCTTTTCAAAAAGTTTTTAATCTCTAGTTTTCTGGCACGGACGCCCTACTACAAGAGAAAAGACTCCTGTAGAAGGGCGTTCGCAGCCGAAAGCTAGAGATTAAAAAGGTTTTTAGAAATATACCCTTCCCTGGAGGCCTGACATTTTTACTCTCAATAATAATAAATTTAATATTATAATATTTATATGAGGATTTTAAAACTATCTCAAGATATAAAAGTAAAAAGAAGTATTGCTATAGACTTCTTTGTTAAATATTCGGCAAGCTATCTAAAGTTTTACCAATTTCTCAGACCTATAGTATATATTATTATGAACGAATGTGTAAACCGGGAAACGCCCGAATGGTTCTTTTTATCAGAATGTACGTATATGGAATAGCTTGTCGAATATTCAATAAAAATCACAATTGTCGTAATTCGTTTTTTACTTGTATTTGCAAGTATCTTTACATTAAGCATCTCAAGAATCAATTATAAAAATTATCTATTAGATCATTATACAAAGTTTTTTTCCTGTAGAAGGGCGTCCGTGCCCGAAAGATAGAGAATAAAAATGTTTTGAAAATACACTTTTCCCTGGAGGAATGATTAATTTTACTCCATATTGATATAAATAATTATTTTATTGAATATACACTTTAATTTATTCATCTGATTTCCATTAGGAAATGCATAGAAATAACTAAGTTGCATATTTTCTACACCAATATTTGAAAACCATTTTACATTCTAACGATTATGTGTATATATTTTATAAATATATATTTATAAAATGATTCTATTAAATACTGGTAGAAAGAACAGAAAAAATTCAAAGAGTTTTTATAAGGAAAACAATCAAATAAACGAAGTCAATTTTGTGTTAGATCAATAAGATGTCAAAATATTTGTTTCGGTTTAGGAAAAAAATACAAGTAAATGTATTATATATCTTCAAGCAAAAATTGAAAAAAATGCTTGTATATAAACATTTAGAAATATAAAATAAAATAATGTATATATAAAAAGAAACAATTTATATTAATATAAATTCATTTCTTTAAAAATAAAAGACACTTCGGCCAGAAAAGATTTTATTTTTTATAGATATTTGACAAAAATATTTTTCCAACGTCAAGTAAAAGAAAAATGAAGCATTTGGCAAGGCGTCATGAATGTATCTGAGGTTGAAAGGGCGTTCTCACGCAATCTTTAAAATTTCGTACAACATCTAGATCGAGATTTAGAACTCTCTCAAGGTGGGGAACCCTTCCTTGCTGAAGAAATTTGTACATATACAACTGTATAGATGGAAATTTTGCCGGGAGGAAATTGATCTAAAGAGACAAGGGTCGCCTCTTTGCCAGCTAAACACCTCTTTGGCAGATTGTCAAGGTTCCATTAGATACCGTGTGGATCTCATGGAATATAGTCTGCCCTAGGCTGACGAGGGCCATTATCCCGAAACCATGGTCTCTAGGTGGACGCTTTTCAGTTTGCATAGCTGGTGTGTTGGCTTTGTCACCGACCCGAGGCCGCTAGTTTGCGGCGACGGTCAATAGATGGCGTCTGGTTTTAGACGTTTATTTTGACGGGAGAGGCAACCCTTGTCTCTTTAGATACAACTGTATATATTTATCTCCCAACACCCATCATCTACTCTTTATTTACTCCTTTATTATATTTATTTGATCTTAAATTTTCTTTCTGTAACAATTGATTAGAATAATCAATAAAATTGTCTATATCGAGATTTTAATAAATCTGAATATATTCTCTTTAACCCGTAGATTTTATTAACTTTATTAACATTCTATAACTCGATATCCCAAACCAAGGGATATTTGCGTCAATACATTTCTTTACATCATAACAAAATGGCTATATACACGTAGGAGAAAGGTCAAGGAGAAAAGACAAACATACAAAAGCAATTCCCTCAAAATTTCCTTCCCTCTCTTTCCCGGTTCAAAAGATAGTTGTATATATATAAAGAGACAAGGGTCGCCTCTCCCGTCAAAATAGACGTCTTAAACCAGAAGCCATCTATTGTGGCTTTGTCACCGACCCTGGGCCGCTAGTTGCGGCGACGGTCAATAGATGGCGTCTGGTTTTAGACGTCTATTTTGACGGGAGAAGCGACCCTTGTCACTTTATATCAATTTCCTCCCGGCAAAATTTCAATCTATAGTTGTATATATATCTACAAAATTTATAAAAAAAAAATTATGTTTTTTTCTCATCTACGAATTCATGTAGCTGTTCGATGCCACCAAATTTTCTTTCCCTATAATCCCGAAAAATTGGGCATTCCAGAAGTAGATGTTTCGAGTCTTGAATTTCTCCTCCGCAGAAGCCTCCCGGTTCCTTCACCGCGCCGATAGTTGCTAAAAATTTCCCAAAATTTCCAAGATCAATGATAAATTGAACATGATAAAAATCTGGACGAAAAAAAAAAAACTTTGAATTCCAAACACAAAAAGGCATCTAAATATTTAATTTGTATTGACAAAAACTTCATTTTTTACTCTAAAAATGACTTGTCTATGATCAGGTGGCTAGTAATATTACTCTAATCTCAGAAATTCCTACCTATGGCTAGTATTTTGATGGTATGGTAGAGTCTTCTTCCCAAAATTGCCCGTGAATTCCATTCTTAGAATTCC